GAGGGAGGGAGGGAGGGAGGGAGGGAGGGAGAATATCTGCAGCCGACTGATTCAGAGGATCGCTCTCCTCGTTCTGTCTCTCTCGCATCCATACTGCGCGCTCCATGCGTGCGAGAGAGACAGAGCGAGGAAGGGGATCCTCTGAATCAGTCGGCAGGTGGCGACTGAAACGGGGCGACCACATCACACTCCGTGAGCTCCCGCCTCGCCCCGCCTTCACCAGCTGTGCACTGCAAACACTACTAAGGTACGACTTTGCCCAACTTTGTCTGTTTCTCCCTCGTTTGCCCTCTCCCTCAACCCAAAACCAGCACCACACACATATTTTAGTACACAAGACTCTCATGAGGGAGCTATGTACAAATATTTTTTAATGTTCCTTTTTTTTTCTGTGGTTTTTTAAATTTCCTCATAATTACACAGATATTTTTTCAGGTATTATACATATTTCAAAGCAAAATAAACACGCAATCATCAATACATAACAGAATTGCATAAGAAAACTGGATTGGAAAATTTGATTCCATGCTCAATGAAAGAGTATGAAATTGTGAACCAGCCTTGTAAATTTGCAAGGCTACATCTTTTTTTTCAGGCTGAAATCGATTATTCCTGGACTAAACTGGGTTATAAAAGAAGGCAGCTCTACGATGTATTCCCCATAGTAGTGCCCCGAATAGCCGATTAACTCATCGGCACTGATTCGCCTTGTTTTGCCTGCCAATCCCTCTAAACAAAGATATCCTTCCCCTCCTCTCCTGGCCTGGCCTGGCAGGCAGCTTGTTGACGGGCTTACCTGGTGTTTGTCCTCAACCTCATTCCGGGGACGAGGAAGGAAGACCGGACAGGGGTGCGAGGCGAGGAGGCGTCATTTGAGGGCGACTTAACGGGGAGGGGGTCAGGATTATGTTAGGGTCTAGCGCGGGTCAGGGTGGTGAGGCGGGGAGGAGTGGGGCGGGCGTGTTATGAGGAGACAGGTTTAAAAAGAACACCCTCGGGACGGGAAGGAAGATTATTAAATGCGGACGAAAAAAAAATCGAGGGAGACCTCTGCCGTGTCAGTCAGTCAGTCAGTCAGCAGTCAGTCAGTCAGCCAGTCAGTCAGTCAGTCAGTCAGCCAGTCAGCCCATAGCTTCACTCGCTCCCTCCTTGGCCTGGAGGTATATATATTAATACATATTTTTTCTACCATTCGCTCTCTTCAAAGCTGGGTGTGCCGGAAAAAAAGTGGAGACGGCTAAAGGAAAGAGGAAACAGTGAAAAGAGGGAAGTGTAGAAGGGGCTAAGGAGGGGGTGAGTGAGAGTGGGGAGGTGACTAAGGCAGAGAGGGCACCGGACTGGCCAGGCAGAGAATGCCGAGTGAGAGAAAGTCGACTGGAGTGAAACGGACATGCCTCTACCCCCCCCCCTTCTTTTTTTCGCCTGTCGCCTTCTCGTTGTTGGCGAACATTTTATCGCCCCAGGATCAGCTCCAGACCCAGCGTTCAGTCGAAGGCGAGGTCGGCCTGCTTGTCCCGGTGGCCAGACGGTTCCGGCCGGCCGGCGGGCCGATGTTTTCTTCGTCCTCTTCGCTCAGTCGGCCGTTGCCCAATATTTCAACAGGGAAGGTCGGCGCCGGCGCCGTGGGCTTGGCCCGAACATTTCTGGGCTTTAATATTGATACGCCGGCGTCTAGCAGCCCGCCACGCCATGCCACCCCTTCCACTTCACCACCACTAATAACGTTCCATCCACTACCCCCCTTTCTCCCTCCGATCTCTCTTTCTCTCCCGCGCGCAACCACGGCACCGCCAGTTACTCCTCCACCCCATTCCCCCTCGCTCCATTCTTCAAGGAATTTGCTTCTCGCAAGTTCGAGTTTCCAATCCTGCCAAGACCAATGGTTATTAATCCGCCAACTCTCTTCCTCGCATATTCCAATGGATTGACCCGCCCTCCGCCCACCCGTCACACAGCCTTCAGGGGGTCGCTCGATCTCACGCCATGAGGCCAGGGCCAGGAACCTAAATGTCCATCTTGTGCTTTCGTGGACATTTGTAAAGTCGACAGCCTTACTGTTTATGTGAGCATGTGAGCTCTTGGGTACTCAGCCTGGTGCAGCCACCTGGAGACGGAGACGGAGGGCCGAGCGCGGTCCGGTGACTTCCATTCGACGATACTCCCCGATGGCCGGTCTCTTCCTATCCAGCGTCTCGACGGTGACGCGGGATATCGACACAACCTGCACGGGGTGGGGTATCCTAGTCATTTACTACATGGTAAACTTGCTTGACTGTTCATTTTCTTGTCACTTGCTTTAATAACAAAAAAATAATGGCCACTTTTCCTAACATAGGAAACATTATTTCACTTCCACTTCCGATTGTTCTGTAGACATTTTATTGCGAATCTGAGCAAGATGATATCTTCTAGCTTGATGGAGAGCAGATTTACGGAGTGCGAAAAATCCTGTCATCAGTTGAGACAAAAGGAGAACGAGCATCACAGATTCAATTGCTGATTCAGCAGGTAGTGGCCACATTGGTGGGCTGAAGAGTAGGAGGAGGTGAAGTGGTAACTGTAAAACTATTGATAATACCCAAAATCCAGCTAATTCTGGAACCTGATGGAAACAAAACATAATTAATATATTTCAAAAATATTTTAAGTTTTAAATCTTTTTTAAAAGTAATGCTGAACAAACCTTCTCAGACAGGTTGCCCAAATATCCCAAGTACAATCGTATGCTTTCAATTGTGGTTAAACAAACAATTATTAAAATTAGAATAAATCTATGGATAGTTGTCAAGTACTCATACTGAAAAGAAAAAGAAAATATAAGCCGACAAAATGCATGAATAGGAATAATCGTTGAAAGCTATAAATATTATTTACCTTTAAATACAGCATTATAATTGAAATTAAAATCCAGAATGGGAAGATTAACACATTGAAGTATAGGCTCATTTGCAATGGCAAACAAGAAGTGATTTCGTGACCTACAGGAATCAAGATCACAGAAAATAATGATTGTGGCGTCAAAATACTAGTTGCATAGCAAACAGCTTGTAATTGACAGGTTTTTACCCAAACTGATGAAGTCTTGTGTAGGCTGTTGCTTCAAGGAGAATGCTTTGACTGTTGCGGGAGAGTCTTCATCATTTCGCAAATCTGCCATTTCAAGGAAGTGTTTTTCTTGACTTAGTGCACCTTCAACTATAAAACTGACTTGTTATGGAATATAACAAAACATAAACAAACGGCCGTTGCTAAGTCCGGTTGCTAGGGTATGAGGTGCTATGCGATGCCAACTGCTGAACAAAATATTGGAAAGCTTTCATCGAACCTTTTTCGTTTTGATTTGGCATTTCTTTATTTACGTGAATGGGTTGATAGAAACTTGATTTTCCTTTTCGTATTGAGAACCGTCTTTATTTTCTCTATCAATTAAAATTCAAAATTTTTAACGACTGGGGTGTTTTTTTGTTGCTACTTCGACAGATAACTTTCTCATACTCACATTTTTTAGCCTCCTCAAGTACTGCAGTCTGATTCTTGATAGAGATATTCATTCGTGAATTCTCGGCCCCCCGCCCCCCGTTGCATAGTAACAAGAGCAATTAAAGAAGCAGAAAGTGCAATGATTTAACGCTCAACGTATTTTTCCCATTTGCTCGACCGTTCGGTCTAGAAACATGCCGGAGCGTTAGTGCGGTTAATTAAGTCATACCATGGTAAGAAACCAAGGGAAAATAGTTAAAACTATTGTGGCCTAATTCAGCCTGCGCCGTAGACGTGCTTCCACAAGTGGCCATCTTCCGAGTTGCTGCAAGTGTGTCAATATTCTTCGGGCCAGTGGTTCGGAAGATTCCCTTTCAAGTTCTTCAAACCTTCTATCCTGAAAAATACATTTCCTCTGGTGGTTGAGTTTCCTCATCATGTGAGGTTATGGTCAACGGGTCTGCACTGATGACTGCCCTTGCTGACTGCTTACTGAAGATTGAAGATGGAGGAAGAACCAAATTTGAAGGAACAAATATTCCACAATACTGTGAGGGAGAACATTATTTTTATGCTCTTGTTCCTATTATTGTATTTGTCCAGCTACACTCTGATTGGAAGATTTCGTCGAAGAGACAGGGAAGAATATTTGTCTACCGATGAAGATGAAGCCATGGTCTACCGAATCAGCCTATGGTTATGTACATTTTCCTTGGCTGTGTCAGTTGGTGCGGCATTATTATTACCAATTTCTATTGCCAGCAATGAAGTTCTTATCATATATCCAAATAGCTATTATGTCAAATGGCTTAACAGTTCCCTTATACAAGGCTTGTGGAATCATGTTTTTCTCTTCTCTAATTTGTCTTTGTTTGTTCTCTTACCATTTGCATATCTCTTTACTGAGTCAGAGGGTTTTGCTGGAAGTAGAAAGGGACTGATGGGCAGGGTGTATGAAACCGTTGTAGTACTGTTTCTGCTTGGTATTGTAGTACTAGGCCTTACTTACATCATTTCAGCCTTGCTTGACAAAGACAAATCAAGTTTTCAAACTCTTCTGAATTTATGGAGTTACTACTTACCTTTCTTATACTCATGTGTATCCTTCTTGGGTGTTCTGATGTTGTTAATCTGTACTCCCCTTGGATTTGGGCGCCTCTTTGGTGTTGTGAGCCTATTCTTGGTTAAACCTCAGTTCTTGAGGGATCTTAATGAAGAATTCTCTGTAGCTAGGCTGGAAGAAGAGTGTTTAAGACGACGCCTGAAACAAGTAAAAGAATCTAGCCATCTGAACCTATGTCCACCACCAATGGTAATGCCAATGGATATATCAGATCCAGACAGTCAGTCATCCAGAACTTTACATAGGGAGAAAGATTTAGTACATCTGCTAGAGAAGAAGCTAAGTGCTTGTGAGGAGAAACGTAAACTTGTTGATAAGCAAAGACGAACATCTTGGCTTCAGAGGAACTTGGTGTATCCTGTGGCCATGTTATTACTAATTGCATTGACATGTATCGCTGTTCTGATGGTGGTACAGAACACCCTAGAACTGCTTATTGGTATGAAAGCCTTACCTCTGAGTACTCGACAATTCACCCTCGGAATATCTTCCTTGTCCATGCTCGGACCATTTGGTGCAGCTCTGGAAATAGTTCTGATACTGTATCTTTTTGTGACATCATCCATTGGACTGTATACCCTTCCATTACTATCCAGGGTAAGACCAAAGCTTCAACAAACAACCCTAACCCATGTAATAGCCAATTGCTGCATGCTTCTTGTCTTAAGTTCAGCCCTACCAGTCCTTTCAAGAATATTGGGAATCACCAACTTTGATCTGTTGGGTGATTTTGGAAGAATAGAATGGCTTGGAAATTTTAATATTGTCTTGTTATACAACCTGGCTTTTGCATCTGCTGCCACTTTGTGCCTCATGAACAAATTCACTAGTACAGTCAGGAAAGAGCTGTATGCTAGATTTCGTAGCTTTTTTGCCACTATATTTGAGGCTTCCACTACCAAGAAAGGTACCAAAGCATCTAACTCACCAACTAAGGAAGATTAAATGAGCATTCTGTTTGAATGATTTTAAAAAAACTAAGTTATTTATAAGTTCTTGGCTTTCTGTAGGAATACGTAATTTATTTCTTATTTTATAATCATTTTTATAGGTCTTTTATTTCAAATAATTTCCATAGCTGCTGTTTTTTTTTTGTTTTTTTTTTCTCTATGTAATGGGAGCTTTTTTCACTGCAAAGCAAGTATGGTCTAGTCGTCATGTTTCCTCCATTGCATACTCCCTTCTTAAATTTGCCAAAACAAAAAAAAAAAGAAAACTGGAGCTTCTGTATATATTTTGAGGGAAGTTAATTATTTTTCTTGTGATTATGATCAGTCAGCTTGTTATAAATATTAGTGAAGACCAGTTATTTAGCCATTTTCTCAATTTGCTTGATTATTATTATGTAATATTAATTTGACAAGTTAAAACAAGTCTTCCACTAGTATTTCTGTGTTGTCGTTGCAAACTTGTGTATGTATATTGGAAAGACAATTATTGGTACTGTAGTTTGCAGAAATTCACCGCAGCTGTGAAGAATATTATATGATGTATTCATGTAGCCTTTCTAACATTGCCTGTCCCTCAAGGTGTTTTGTCAGCACAAATTTATGAGACTGATTTTCAACTTGAATGTGAAGATTTAATGTACAGCAATATCAGTATAAGTCCTATATTTCACAAGTTGTTCTTTGTGACCAGTATATACTGATAATATTGCTAGCCACTTGCTTAACTTTTATGGTTTCTGATTTGACTGTAGACTTAGTTAGTCACAAAGTGTTTAAATGTTTCTTTTTTTATGTTCATATGTGAAGACAATGAAACCCTTAATACATTAAATCTGTGATAAAGAAGGTCATATCCTCATATCTGTACCACCAAGTTGTCTTAATGTGTCATGTTTAGATTATGTAAGCACCATGCACTAGCACTTAACATTCTGCTTATGACAGGGACATATCTCAAGTCCAAAAGGAATGTCTGTTTTTCTCTTCCTGACTCATATGAGAAATCAGTTGTTGAATGGCTCACTCTGTTCCCTACTCTAAGGCTGAATTCGTCAGTCAGGAAGTAGGTAGATTTTTTAGTTTATCAGTCAATGTGATTCAAATGGCTTCATGTGTGAAACAAAGGAGGCTGTGTGGTAATTGTGTATTGAACCTAAGCAAGATTTTCTGTGATTCTATGATTGTAGGTACTTTGTTGTTTGATACCACCAAAAACCTTTGACTTGTCCACTAGGTCTTTTCTTATTTGTTAACATGTTTTACCAATATTTAACAAATCTCTGGCAATATTCATGCTATGTTTGTGAAAAGTTGTCATTTCTTGTATTTTGCTTGAAAGCACGTTTTAGTCAATATACTATTTATATCCTGTGAGTTCTTTGTCATTTGTGAAAGTGACTAAATTTCAATTACACTTAATGTTGATTTTGCTTCCTCTGTGTCTGGCTTTGTTACATTTGTCTCAATGAATGCTTTCAGTATTAACTCCTGGCTCACATTTTCTATCGCCGATTTTCCTTGTCTATAGTAAACTGCAAAGTCAGTAAAGCTTGTCTTATAAGGAGTATAGTATCTATCTATGTTTCTTACTTCCAATGTTTCACGGAAATTTGAGAGCCTTTCTGAAACACTTCTGCTTATCAATAATGGAGTGCAGTCTCTCTTGCAATTGCTTTACATCAAAGACTGTATGTGATTTTGAATAAATTTTACACAGATCAAATTGATGTATTGCGTTTCTTAACCCATTCTCTATTTTGATTTTTGCAAACATCATTGCTCATTAGTGCATTTTCAGGGACAAATTTCTTATCTCAGGGTTGAGTTAGCTGGACATTACCAAATCCTTCTTTTCTAACTGAAATAAAGAGCTGCTTTTCTGTAGAATGCCTGATTCTAGCTGAAATGAGGCAAAGATATCTTTGAAATGGAGTTTCAGAAAGGCCCTCACAGGATAATCTTCTGTATGTTCCACACAGTATTTAGTTGATTTCATAACATCCATATGACTTGTGGCTTTGCTGTTCTTGCTGTCCATATTCATTCTTAAAGTGAATCCTAATGCTGTTGTGTTCACTTAGTTATATTTGTCGGTAAATCAACATTTTGGCATGGAAAAGAAGGAAAGTAGATAAGTTTGGAGAATGAAAACTTCTCAGTTTCCTTGGCCTGTTTTCCAAAGTCAGCCAGGCTAAGCTTTATAAGCCAGGATAGGTTCGGAAAGTATACATAATTGAACCCAGCGTCATTATCTCATAACTCACATTGTTGTTCAACACTACAAGCTCTAATTTTATTTTCATAAAGGGAGATTGCCTAAAGGTTTTATCAACTTTTATTTTATTTTGGATCTACTCTTTTTGTTCTTTATGCAATGTAAAGTTGTAAAGCATTGCATTCCTTCACAATCTCATAGAAGCTAAAAGCCTTTCCAGTAATTAAGTGAAATGTTTTTAATTCTGCTGTATTGATCTGTGTAGGCAGGAGATGCAGCCTCCTTGAATACCCTGGAAGGACTTATGAAAGAGTTTTTCTCCAATGAAACAAGCAATGGACGGAAACATGAAATTGAACAAGTCCTTCATGCTTTTAGCAGTCAGCAGGGATCCTGGCAGCACTGCCTTTATTTCCTTGCTCATTCTGCGGATCCCTATGTCAGCATGTACTGCCTATCTACCATTGAGGTGAGTAACGCAGGCATAAAGTAGGTTTCTTTAAATTTACAGAAATTAATTAAAAGAGTTTTTTCTTTCCTATGTTTTTCAGACTGTTATAAACAAGCAATGGTCTGCATTAGCTTGGGAGGAAAGAGCTCAACTTAAGTCTGCGCTTTATCAATTATTAATACAACGACATACATCTGTTCCCCCTTTTGTTAAAAATAAGCTAGTTAAACTTGTAGTGGATATAGCTCGTTTGGACTGGCCTCATTTTTACCCAGATTTTTTCACAAATATTATTCAGGTAAGTTTTGTTTTTCAGGCTATTTTGTTTTGTTAAATATTTTCCTTCAAATTTTAATTTTGTGAATCAACAACAGCTGTTGCAGAGTGCAGAGACAATTTCGTTAGGATTAGTTTTTGTTCAAACTTCTTCGGAAGAGTTAATATCGTCCAGAGAAGATCTAAGTGTTTCTCGCAGAGAAGAACTGCGGAGATTACTTCTCCAACATGTGCCTCAATTATTTGCCATCCTTACAGGCAAGCATTTGAGTTATTTATGTTTTGTATTTTTGTTCAATTAAGTTTTGCCACCTCAACTTAAATCCTTGTATATGCAGGTATTCTAGAGCAAGCACAGCAATCAGAAGGGAATGCCAGCCGTAGAGGGAGCTCCAGTGGTTCAGTAGGTGCCCCTGCTGTCACCGCAACACCACCACCTAGTCCAACTCATGGCCAACCACACTCAGCTTCCCCTCCTGGCTCTCTTTTGAGCTGTATGCTATCGTCAGGGGGTAGAGAAAGAAGCACTGGTGTTGTGAGATTGGCTCTTGAAGCACTCTCACATCTGTTGTCATGGGCCCCTTTGGGTCCCCACGTATCTCCCTCTCTCACATCTGTAGTATTTTACTGGATCCATGCACATCACTCGGTAATTAACAGCTATTTTAGGTTCTAGGGGTGTGTCTTGCAGATTGAAACCTCAGCACCATGTTAGAATAATTACCCCTGAATAAAATTGTGAATCTTTTGCTCTAGGTACATGCAAGCAATACGGATACAAGTTTGAGTGTGCTAGCAATGGCGACAGTCAATGAAATATTTTACAAGAAGTGTGTTCCTAATGACTGGGAAGAAAATTTATTAAGCCTTTGTGAGCAAGCTTTGGCTCTAAGTCATGAACTAATTAATCATATTGGAAATCTTTCGGAAGAGTAAGTTACTCTTGTTTTCTTTGTAATCTGAAGTTGTGTGTGCTCTACATGTATGCTGACCCACATCAATCACACTACACTATCTTATTTTACAGCCTTATTGAAAAGCTACTGGATTTTTTGAGACTAGTTGTTAGCCAGCATTTGCATCGACTAGAGAAAAGTCCTAAATGGCTTGTGTCACAGTTACTTTCTCTTTTATTGAGATTCACTTTTCAACAGCCTAGTTTAGATGGATACTACCAGTGTCTTGATATATGGGAACAACTACTGGAATATCTTCAACAACGACAAAATAGTCAGCTCAATGCAAGGTCAGTTTTAATCCATGTACCATGCACCAAACCATAGCCACTAGGCCTTGTAACCCTTCTTTATTAATGTTTGAAAGTTTTTATTTCAGGTATCAGGAAGCCTTAGTTTTATTAGTTGGCCAAGTTTTGAAAAAAATGCAGTTTCGTCAAAATAGGAATGAACTTTTAAATCTTGATGATGAATCTCCTGATGATGATGTAAGTAATTTCTACTAACTGCATTTTTAAAACGCAGTTTTCATTTTCTTCCATTGCTTCCATCAAGTGATTAAATCTCATCACCTTCATATTTTTGTTTTAGGGAGAAACTGAATGGCAAAGATTTCTTCAAAAAAGCATAGAAAGCATTGCCACTGTTGCTGAGCTTGCCCCCCTCCATATTTATGCTCTTGTGGTAGATATTTTTAGCTGATTTCTTTTAATCTAATTAACAAATTTAATTTTCTATCCATCCTGTTGATTGATACATTTTTATGTGTTTAGCTTGAACCATGGAAAGAAGTCTGCTCAGAATACACCCATTTATGCTCTGAGAAAGTAGTAACCAGTACTGACTTACAATATTCAGTTCGAGATCTAGCATCTTTGACTCAGGCTATCGGTCGGTTTTACCCTCACTTTACGGGTGAAAGTTTTTTGCCTGGAGTACAACAAGCCCAACAACTGGTTCAGGGCCTTGTTGCTATGGCTGCTTTGGCAACGAAGCTTCGTCCTCATCATTGGTCCCTCTCCCCAACAACTATTTCACGAAATTTGTTGCTTGTGTAAGAATAGTTTTTGAGATTGTGAGTGTTTTACTGTGGTAGTTCTTGCTTTTCTCATTCATATTTGGTGTTGTCTTTATGTATTATTCTAGACATGTACAAGTGCTAGCTGCGTTAAAGGCATGGAGTCACTGGATTGCACAAATGCAAGCAAGTTCAGTTGATCATGCCCTAGTAGATCGCTTAATCAATGATATGGTGCGAGCCACTGTAGCACTCTTACAAGATCAAAATGAACAATCAACCCTTGTACATGCAGCTGCTCACCTACTGCTAACACTGGCAGGCACAGTAAAATCAGGTCAACTTTGGAGTATGGAATATGTACGCAGCCTCTATAGTGACCCTCTTACTCATCTGGAATCTACTGTAAGTATTTTTTTTCTATCTTGTAAGAGTACACATGTGTGCATATGACTCTTGTGATATCTGCTGTAAAACTTTGCTTATTTCTTTGGTGCAGACTCAAGGTGTAGTCCGACAAGCACTCTGCAGTGCATTAGTTGCTGTTGGAAATGAAGAGTGCTTCGAAGAAAGACACAAGCTTATGGCGATGCTTGTTGATGCAATGACAAATGATGTGAGAAGAATAGCAGCGGCTGGAATACACAATCCTCAAGATGCAGCACCTGTAATTTCAAGAACATTCCGTTCACTTGCAGAGTTTATAGAAAATTCACAGGTGGAAAATACATGGGGAAAGAAGCTGCTGTGTTCGTCACTGCAGGTAAATGGACCAAAACATAAAACCTCTTGGAATAAAAATTTGATAGCTAAACATCTGCACTCATTAACACACAACCTTCTTTTTTAAAATCATTCTAATAGACTTGGTTGGAGCAATCTTTGATTTTATTCCCCAATTATGTCAGTGATGCGGAGGTCAGTGAACAAATCTTGAACTTTTTCCTTGCTTCTTTTGGTACATTCCAAGTTCAGCTTGGGGCAGCGTTTACTCAGCAAGCTGTTCATACATTCCTTGAGTGCTTTACCCGGTATGTAGATGTTTGTTTTTCCTTAATATCAATCTGAATTTTCAGTTAGTGCGCTCCTAAATTATGATATTTTTTTCCAGTGAGCAGCTTTCTGTTTGTCTGCTTCAAGAGAAGTGTGGTGGTGTAGAAAGGTTCCTACACATTCTGCAGCTTATTGTAACACAGCCAGGCAATGCATTTAAACACTTCATTCCCTCTAGTATTACTTTATGCATGGATCACATATATCCTGTCATTGCAGAACATCAAGCTCCATTAATTAAGCCTGCTGTCTTCCAGCTTTTGTTCAGGTAAAATTTTAAAGCAAAATCTAAACATGACAGCAAAGTGTCAAATTAAAATGTACAGCATTTTAAAAAATTCCCGTTTCTCATTTTGCAGTATTTTGTTACACAAATGGCAATATTTTTACTCCAGTCAACTGCAACAGACAAGTGTCAAGTCAGAACACAAAGCACAGCTTCTTTCAATCCTCAATGCATTTGGTCAGTCGCTTCTTCAGTCTGATATAAATGTTTTTAGGCAAAATCTCCAAAACCTAGAAATATTAAATAATCGCTGGAAACTTTATCATAAGGTGAGGCTTTTCTTTGTATTTCAAGAAATCATTTACAATTATTCAGGATCTGTCTGCACAAAATAGTTAATCTGCAATATTTTCTTCTTTTAGGCTGAATTCTGTGAAGGGCTTCTTCCCAGATTTTTATCAGTTCTTCTTGAAACCTTAGTCAACAAGTCACATGCCCTTCTAAGTGAAGACATTGCTGTGGCAGTCTTCAACATGGCAAATGTTGATTTTAGCTTCTTTTTCTCATCATTTCTACCTGAATTTCTACAAACATCTGAAGGTTTAGATGATTCTCAAAGAGTCATTTTACTTCGTAATTTTAACAATTCTACCGTGAGTAAACCTCATCTGTTTTTCAAGTAGATGCCTTATATTACTTTTCATACAGCTATTTGTCTTTCTTTTCTAGGATTTGCCATCATTTACTCAAAATGTGTCTCGTCTAACAAATGACATGAGGTGTTACAAACTTTGCAATTCATTTCTTCCTGCTGGTAGTATCCAACTCTGACAAGTTTCGGGTCTCATTCTACTGTAAAGGTTAAGTTTTCATTTTGTTTGTTAGAAACCAGCAGGATTTAGAAAATGTGATTAAATTTGTGTTTCCATGGTTAAAATTGTGGATTTTAAAAATATGAATGCTAATTTCTGTGATGTGAAGTTTTTCATTCATTTTCACTGTGCCATTTCATTGTACATAATTTCTCATTCATTCTTAGTTAATCTCTACATAAATGTTGTTTCTATTACTTAAAAATCTTGTAAAAAGAAGTTTTGTTTGTACTTTTGTTTTGTTTGAGGGTGGTCCAGTGTTTGTAAAGATGCTTGTTAGTATGTATCAGTCATTTCATACGAGTGAGGAAGCAGAAAAAGTGCATGTAAGGAGAAATCTTCTGTGTTTACTTAAAAAGTGTGGGAAATGCTTGAAATAATTTATCAACATTCCTAGCATTTATGACAAAAAACATTGCTTTGTTCCTTATAACCTTCACCTATTCTACAAAATATTTTAAAATTTCTTTTGGATTTTCAGTTCAACTTAATGAACTGATATTTAGTTTTTTCAAAAGTTTTTGTATCTACTACAATTTTTAGTGTTTGTTAACAAATTTTAAAGTAATCATATTGTTGAGAGAGTTTTTAACTCCGCTGCCATATGTGAAGTGAAGCTGGACTGCATAGGATTGTAAGAGAGCTGATGATATTTTTTAGAGGAAGTTGTTTTTTTTTTCTTTTATTATCCCTCAGTTTGTGTCTGTTTTATAAAGGTAGCAACCCTAATTACATGTTATTATGATGAAAGGCTGACTAGTATTTTACAGTATTGTGTGGTAAAATGAATAAGGGACGGTCATACTGTATTTAAAACCAGTATTTTTACATTGATTTTGTCCAGTCTTAACTACTGTTTTGTAAAACATATTTCGAGATGCTGCAGATGTCGCTAATCAAATTGTTTCTTGCATTTGTCATCTTGTCACCTGTTTGATTGTGAATAGAGCAAACGAGGATATTTTAAAGAGAAGTATTCACAACTTGGTTGCAGTGTGGAATCTAGGAGGTAAATAATTGTCTTACTGAAAAGGGACCAGATAAATCAATCTCAGAGGTAAAATGAACTTGCTGCAACTTTGTTTCTTAACTTTCCATTTGAACTGTATGGTCTTTTTAAGAAATTAATTATCATGCCATGTGATGTGTTATATACAGTAACTTATGGGAGATTTTACACCATTGTATGCTGCAGACGGTGGAAGAGAATTGACACTTTTGTCGTTTGTCAGAGAATTTATGTATGCATCTGTGAAGACCACAACTTTTGTAAGCAATAATTTATGTATGACATTTATGAGGGGAGTTCAGCTCCCTTCGGTTTCATGCTTTTGAACTGTTTTTCCTCCTGAGTAGCTTTTTTACTTTTGAACATTTTGTATGACACCCATAGTTTGTATTAAATTGTAATAAAAACGTTTGATTGGTGATAATCGTAAATTGAATTGTCGCAACACTTTATTGTATGAAAACTTCACAGGACTCTGTATATTTTCAGGCTATTTTCTTACTTTTTCTTTTCAAATTTAAAAGAAGAGAATAACTGTTTAGGTATGTTCTATAAATCTCATAGACTAGTCTGAGTACGTGGTCGGAGTCCTATTTTTAAGGGTATTGATGGAACAGCAACCATGCGTAGCACCATATCTATGTTTTCTGTATTTAACAGTTCTATTTCGAAATCTCTGAGAATCTGAAATGTAGCAAAGTTTTAATTAATGGTTGTAAACAAATAGACGGTGCTAACACAATCATAAGCGAAAGCATAAGTCATACTTACAGCGGCCAAGGTTGTTATCATTTGGGTCTCTGCAAGCTTTCTACCTATGCATGATCGTGCTCCCATTGCAAAAGGCATAGAAGCATGTGGGTTATGGACTGCTTTATATGATCCATTGGTTGAATGAGATGTTCGAAGCCAGCGTTCAGGCCAAAACCTTTCTGGTTCTGGGAAATTGTTGGCATTTCTTCCACTTGTAAATAGTGATAGCAGTACCAGTTCCTAAAATTGTGATTTTCCATGTGTCACATCATTTCATTAAATTTCATGTAAAAATAATAAGAAAAAAACATTCAAAATCTTGCCTTAGGGGGTAGTTCATATCCACCAATAACACAAGATTCAGGCATTATTCTCGTGAGAAATGGTGCCACAGGGTATAGTCTTAAGGCTTCTCGCACCACACCTCTCACAAGAGCTGACTGCAAAATATCAGTTTCCTGTGTTAATTCTGCTGCCACATGTCCCTGAGTGAGTGGATTTTCTGCTAACAAGTATAGGGTCCATTGAAGTGACAAAGCAGTCTGAAACAAAGAATGTTTGAACGACCAACTGTTAAAGGGCAGTAATGCAGTTAAAATAATGAATTGTGTGGAAACTTACTGTGTCACCTGCAGCAATTATGAAGTCAATAACCACTTTTATAATGTCTTCCTCAGACATTCCACATTCTATCATTCCTTTCAGGAGACCACCAGATTCACCAGTGGAAAGAGGAATCATCTGTAGCACCAGGGACCGAGCTGTAATTCAGAGGGAAACAATCATAATCCACCATGATCTAGGAACTGTTGTGTAATATTTTTAATGTAACAACATATCATTACCTGTATTTAAGCTTGCATCAACTGTTGTGATAAAGCGCTTCCAAACTGGAAGCTGACCTTCTTGCGCGTCTTTGGCTGAGATAAGAGACATGTTTCCAGTTTCTAAAAACACTTTATGAATATTGTGTGCCAAGTATTCCACCTCATCATTCCATTTTGGTGCGTGTGTTTCATAAAGAGGTCCCATTAGGACAGCAATTACGGCTGGAAATTTGCATATATTACAATGATTTAAAACGTAAATTAACTCCTTATAAATACTTGTGTTGCAGATCCCTGAGGTGTACTCACTATCTAGCGACCACTTGTATAGCTGCGCCTCCAGGTCACCTATGACCCGAGTGCCACCTGCCTTCCATTTGGACACGAGGGACTCAGCAACATGTTGGCAGGCTGAAGAGAAAATGTCTCCTTGGTCGGTTCTCAACATGAGCGGGTTCATGAGGCGGCGCATCTTGAGCCAGTCCGCTCCATCCCTGGAGGACCACGAGTAGGTGTGAGAGAGAACGTCCGAAACGATGTCAGTTTTATGTTCAGTCGCTGCGCGTTGGCGTTCAAGAGATGGTGTCTAGCACTTACATGAAGAAGAGGCCTCGCTTGACTCCGAACAGTTGGTTGTAGTGCACCCACGGCTCGGGTAAGACGTGCATGGGGTACTTGCCCTCGAGCCCGAAGGTGCGGCGCATCTCGTCGGGGTCCGCGACGAACACCGCGCTCACGGGCCCGATGCGGTCCCGGAACACGGGGCCCAGCTGACGGTGCCGCATGTCGATGTACTCGTGCAGCCGGGCGGCGGAGGGCGTGCCGGGGAGGTCGCCCGGGGTGGGCATGGCGTCGATGGGGAGGCCGCGGCGGGGCGCAGAGTGCTGGCGCCGGCGCGCGGGCGGCAGGGAAGTCCCAGCGGCCCGGGGCAGCTTGCGAGCCGCCGCCCCGACCCGCACCGCGCTCCACATGGCGATGGCCGGCGCGGCGCCCTTGATGATCGAAGTAACCCGAGCCTCAGCCTCTGGCCGCGCCGCACTGCGGCCGCAGCGCCGACTGGAACAGTCGCAGTGGAACTTCTCCGTACCACCGCGGCCGCGAGGGAGGCGCGGAGGGGCGGGGCGGGGGGCGCGAGGCAGAGCGCGGGCCGGGGCGGCGCGGAGCGTTGACACCGGCTGACCGTCGGCCAGCAGCTCAAGCAGCAGACTGGCTGAATGCTTATGCCTCGCCTCTTCGGGGACCCCTGGCGAGCCCCTGGCGTCCGGGACGGGAGCTGCCACTCTCCCCCCACCCCATCGCATCTCGGGGGCTCCCTTCCTACCCAGAACCGGGGAGTTACCCGGTGCCCTTTCCTGACTTCCTGAGTCCTGGTGGGCTGGGTGGGTCCAGACCCCCACCAGGCTTTGGGTGCTTGGCGAGGCACCGAGGCACGCCTAGGCGGGGGCAGCGTTACTTTGTAGAGGCTGGCTGGGCCGAACCGGGCGATAGCGCGCCACGGCGTAGACGAGGCCGACGAGGCCGAGCGTGTTGGCCTGTTGGCTTCCCGGGCAGGCACGCCCGCGTCGTGGGCGCTGTGCCCCACGACGCTACGCCCAGCCACGCTCCACCATGCCCCGCCACCCTCCGCCACGCCCCGCCCCGCCACGCACCGCCACGCCTTGCCATGCCCGTGTCGCGCGCCGTGTAGACTGGTGTCGGGACCTAGCCGCAGTCATCGCGACTCCATGAGCCAAAAGACGTTACTTACTACGTAACGTTGGCAGCTTGGAGAAGAAAAAGTTTTTCTTAAGCGATTTGGACTGCAGGTCCTGGCTGGTTGTCTCGCCACAGGGTAGGCGCATGCAAAGCTGGTCTTAAATGTATTCGGTGGCCCGAGTGACAGCTGATTTATCACAGGGTACACGTCAGCAGCCCCCCCCCCTCCCTCCCAACACACCTCAGTCCGCCCTCCCTTCCCCCATATGGAGTTCCCCCTTTCCGAGGGCCTCTTGCCAGCCCGACGTTTTACCTGGCGTATTCGAGGGACACCTTCCCCCCTCCCCGCCCCCCAACAGCGACGCGGCGGCTCCAGGGCCTCAGGGGACGTGCACTTTCAAAAATGCCAAAAAGAAAAAAGAAAACTTAACATTTTTTTAAAATTTATATTAGTGTAGGCCTTATATGGCTTCGTTATTACCCAATCACTGTAGTGCTCAGTAACGACTCAACGTCACGGGTTTTTCAGACTTTCTATGAACAACGTGGTTCACACTGGTCACCATTCCCCGTTCACCCCCACGCCGTATCAATCATCTTTGAACCAGAGCAGAGGTCGCGGAACTCGTGGGCCTGGCTTGGACGCCAGGAGCGGTTGCCGAGGCGGCAGCGGCGCCCGGTGGGCCGACAACCCATCGCGCACCCGTGCCTGCCGAGTGTCTAGTCGAGTAGAGCTCCGCCGCACCGCAACGCGCACACGTTTTGGAGCTCGCCATGCTGTGTCGACCACTTTCAAAGTTATGCTACACCGCACGCAGGAATGCAAACGCGGTTCTCCAGGTTGCGATAGGCAAACGGGCAAACCCACCCGCATGTGCCTGCATGCGGCACTAGACGGACAAAGTGCCACCTATGGCATAATATGGCCTGCACTACACCACCAACTGTCACTCGTTAGCTCCCCAGCAAGTACCGCAGCACTTTCTCGATGTGGAACGGTTTGTCGTTATTTTTGTAAACATTTACCTACTATTCAATCAGGCCGTCGGCGGATGTCAAGAAGTGACTAGAAATGCAGCCGCTGGCAGTTGCTGACGTAAACGCGAGCGACACGTCCTCTGACGCACGTTTGTTCTGTTCTAGATTTCCAGCTACGTGCCGCCCTTGCGCTATATGGCCAGTCAGGGGGAGGGTATAGGCTGTTGAAGGGTGGGGGGTGGGGGGATGGCGAAGTGTAGAGCGTTAGGGACACATCAGCGCACGCACTCGCCCCCGCCAGTCAGTGAACGAGGACTTGCCGCTACGGCCGTCTTCGACTGAACGAGTCGCCTCGTCGCCATCCTCGGCTCGCGCGAACCGCGCGAAACACGATCCCATATCGCTCGGGTGGCGCTGGTCGCCGAGGGAAGGGAAGCACCATGCAGGACAGAGACCGCGGGCGGAGGGAGACGGGGGCAGAGAGAGAGAGAGGGAGAGACGGGGAGAGGGGAGAGTAGCGGGTGGTGCTCACAAACGTCGGCGCGTTCCTATTTCACGGTTAGTGTTGACCATTTCGCGTCAGTTTGACACGAATTGGCAGCGAACGCTGACGAATCGCTGCTCGCTCACTCGACTGTTCGTTCTCTCCGAGCGCCCGCCCTCACACCACCCTCACGCTGAGCTGGAGCTGCCGCAGCAGAGGTGCTGGCACGAGGTAAGGGTGGAGCAGAGCACCGGTACGGTACATACAGGGTGGCCAGTAGGGGCCCTCTTTCTTCTGGTCACTGTACCGGATGCAGGCGTGCGTGTGGACTGGCCTGTCGCTCATGAGGCAGCCCCGTGCGAGTATACAACCCGCCCGCACGCCTGCGTCCGGTACAGTATCACAGGAAGAAAGAACGGCGCCGATGGGCCACCCTGGGCCACCCTGTGAGGGCACTGGAGCAACCGCCAGCGCCAGCCATGTGCCGCGAGCTGCTAGCTGCTGCGCGAGCCTCGTGCACTAGGTCAAGCAGCACGACCGGAACGGGATTTAAAAGTTCAGAGGTTAGAACGAATTTAAGCGCAGATTTCTTCCGCGAAACATGTGAATAAACGTCATACCACGCCACGCCACGCTTACTTCGGTAGTGAGTCTCTGCCGTGTGGCTGGCCCAGACACTTTTTTTCTGCTCATTTCCCCCGCATTTTTGGCGTATTAATGGGCTTTCTAGGTGCGTCTCTGCCACCTGGGGGTTTTACCTATCGTCTCTGACCATGGCACCTTACGGGCTTTACGGCCCAGCGAAAAGACAGTCTGTGCGTGTTGACGTTTATGCTCCTCCGTATCTACTAGCTGGTTTGTCTGGAAAGAGGTGTAACTACTTTTTAAAATTCCGAGGGGGAAAGATGGAAGAAA